TTTGCTCATTATCCTACTGAAAAATTTAATATTTTTAAACCTAAATTTCTGATGCAGAAGTGTATCTTTATATAATACCCATATTAACTTCCATAACATTATTATTAGGTAGTAATTTATTTGATAATGTTATTCATGATTCTGCCCTGGACTCAGTTCTTGACTAGTTGTCCATTGAAAGCACACAGAAGAGCTGTGATAGAAGAATTCATAGCTACAAACAAAATGACACTATTCTCTTATGAAACTTTCAAACAGAGACTGAGTAGCTAGGGAAAAGCAGTAAAGATCAAAGGTTTCAATGTTTGAAGAGTATGATAGGTATTGCTTTTTGACACTTTTTTTTCTCTGGTAGGGTAATTCTAAAATTTAATTATTTCCTTTTTATTGGGAGAGAACCATGTTCATATAAAAGGAAATTTTGTAATTAGTTTTTTTTCAAAAAGATAATCTATAAAATGATGTTCTTAAAACAATGACCCCTTTCTGAATTAAAAGTTGCTCTAAACCTTTACTTAAACAATCGCTAACTAAAAAGAAGGAAGCCTTTCCAAATGTTTGTTTTATGAAGTTGTAAACTTTAAAAAATTATGCTACTCAGTTCCGCAATCATATGTAATTATTCTCAGAAATGCATTAAAATATTCAGAAAATGTTTAAGAGATTTGTCCCAACTGTGAAAGATTCTAAAAGGAACTTTTTTTTTCTTTTTAAGCCATTGCATTTTGCTCCAGATAAGAAAGCCAAATAAGAACAGAATTGTGTTTTTGGAAACAAAAACAAAGTGTCCCCAGGTTCTGAAGTGCCTCTCTATCAAAGCTCTCTGTCGGTTGCACCTTTTTTTTTTTTTTTGTGAAGAATGTTAAGAAAGTTGCTGCCAAGGTAGTTTGCAGAAATACAGTAAAACGTCGGTTTCCCGACGTGTGGGTAGACAATCTTTATGCGGGAAAGATCTTGCCAGAAACAACCTGGTTCCCCTAAATCCACCCTACCAGTAGTCCATCCCCTCCCGCGGGCGTTTGCAGATCTTTCAAAGGAAGGCTGGGGGCTTTTCTCCTGGCTTCCAGATAGTAGCAGCCGCCTGGGCTGGCTGAAGTCAGTTCCATTTTAAGCGTAGCATGGTAGAGACAGGAGCAGATATTTCTTAGGTTCTGATTCTTCCTTTCTCCTTGACCTTTCTTTACCTTAGTAGCCCTAAGGTCTGGGATCTCATAACAGGATCAAATTATAAATGATATATTTTGGAGATTTAGTGAGGATACTAGATTGTGCCTTGTGTTTTTGCTTTGGTAGTCAAAGCACCTTTTTCTTTTCTTTGTTCTTAGGGATGGAGTGACAGTGCCTTAATTAGTAAGATAGCACCAGCCTTGTTTGGAATGCCTGCTTTCTAGAAAGGAGGTGATAGGATAGATAAAGAGAAAAGTGATACAAGATGGAAAGGTGAGAAGTTGCAGGCTGGAGGTGGAGGGAATGAGGGGAAAGGAAGGAAAAAGGCAAGGAAAAAAGGGTCTCCGAACCCTGGGGCCCATGCTGCTTGTGAACGGGCTGCAGACCTAATGCTGGGGCTGCAGCCCCAGTTGGTGGGGTAGGGAGGAAGGGTGGAGTCGGACACTGCAGTGCCACAGCCCCTCCCCCTAGTTTTAAGAAGAACTGAAGCATTGTTTCTTAGTTTAATAAAAGTCACTCCTTGCTTCTACTAGAAAACAACGATGGTGGGCTCTGGCTCTTCTTTAGCTCTTTGCATTGTATTATGGAGAGGAGGGGGCTGACAAACTGTGAACCTCTTTTAAAATGGGGAAACCTAAGATTGTGACAATTAAAGGACATATGGCTGATTATTTCTTGGATTCTAGACCTACTGCATTAATGATTTTTTTTGTAGCTGCTTGAATTAATTTTAAAGACATTTCAAAAGGACTATGATATACAAAGCTATAAAACATTTGGCTTTAACAGGTATAAAACATGCGTTTTGAGTCAAACACAGGTCTTTCTGGCACTAAAAACAAGTAGGAAATGAGAAAAAAATTAAAACCAGAAGACTTCAGGAAGGTGACAAATTGAAAAGCATTGTAGGAGACTCATAGGACCTTTTTATGTGAAAGAAGCACTCTGAGCTTTAAGAGCTTATGGTCAGTTTATAAAAGGATCTTAGGCTCAAAAGATTTGGGAAAGGGGGAGAAAAGACAAATCTATTTAAAAGATTATGCCATGTCCTTGAATTGGTGAGATTCTTTACTTTTCTGCCTTTCCAACTCCCTTCTCTTCCCTTTTCTTTCTTTTTTCAGCCTTCTACCACTTTACCCCCTTTCTTTATCCCATCCCCACAGTATGTAAATTTGCCTTAAATTCTTTGTGAATGAATTTTAGGATTCTCTGGGTTCCCAGTTGGAAAAAGCCTTCTACACAACTTGAAAGGCTGATGTCCCTCTCAGGAAATGAATGAGTCGATAACCTCTGACACCAGTGGCCAGTCCAGTGAACCCTACCTTAATTCCTCTAATACTGGAGGCCCCTAATCAGGCATAATGTGAATTTCATAACTATGCCATCCAATATTGTTCAGCTGTGGTATTCCAGTTACTTATATATTGATGGGTTTGAATTTTGTCAAATTTAGTTTAGGATTCAGAATACAGTTTTTGTGTTTCTGACCTCTGTGATTAATGATTTTTTTGTGATTTTTCTAATGAAAAACAAATGATGATAAAACGTTATTTACCATGAATATTAAACAAAACCAAACTACACTGCCCTGTGAATTTTTTGATAATTATTTTTAGTAAATAATAGCACTTCATCCCAATTTAATATTTTTTCAGATTATTTTTCCCTAATACTAGATGTTATTTTAAGTAATTCTTTAAAATACATAATAGCTTTTTATTTTGTAATAAAATACTTTTATATTTATAACTATAATTAAAGTTTTGTATTTAATGTCTACCTTATAATTTAATGCTACCTTATAAGTCAATAATAAGTGTAATAATGTTTCTATTGAAAATGTCTAATAAATTTTTTGTTAATAAATATTTTTTTCAGAGTGTGGAACTTTTGTTACACTAACAGAACATTTGGGTTTTTAATACTTTTTCCTTTTCTGCTAGCTGACACATTATTCCCATCAAAATAAAAACTTGCTTTCTTCCCTGAGAATAACAAAAGAAATAAACAGATGAAACATCTTTACAAGTTAAACAGTTGTGATTGACATTTTTGATCATAACCCCCTGAAAATACTATTTTTGTATGCATCCATTCTTTCAGATCTGAACCAATGAAATTTATTTTTAGTTGCTTGAGTGAAAAAGGTGTTTATAGGTGTGTGTGTTTTTCAATAGCTTTTGCAGGCAGAATTCCAACATTTTAGGTTGTGCGAAACACTGTGGGCTTGCTTGAAGACCTGGGGAGGGAGCTTGCAGGGCATGGCTGGCCGGGCATGGTGGGGGAGGGTCAGCTGGTAGCTTTGCCTAAGGGAAGTGGTATCTGTACAGTTAGTTTTTCCTTAAACTGCTTGTTTAAGAAAATGGGGGTTGGGTTGGAGGAAGACTGGTGGGTGCCTTTTAATGCTTCTAAATGGGTGATATTTTGTATTTTAAAGTAAAACGTTTCTAGATAAACTCTGATACCCACTAGAATATTCGATCACCACCATCGAATAGTAACCATCTTTTAAGCCACTTTGAAAAGTAGAAACTAAGCATTTGAAACTTGGGGATCAATGCGGAAGGAACAAGAGGAGTTTAATCCGCTATTAAATTTTCGTTTAATTCACCTCTTCTCCTGGACGACATGGAGGTGATACTTTTAAAGGCAGGTTCCAGTCACTATTTTAGGAGCTTACCTTGTCCCCCGGGCCCCTCTTTCTACACCCACCGCACCAAGGCCGGCTTTTCCTCCCCCACCTCTTTCTCCCGCTGGGCTTTGCTGCCTCCTCTCCTGGCAGCTCCTCTTCACCTCCCCTGCCCTGCTCCCCTCCCCCTCCAGCTCTCTGTCTCTTGCTCTTGGGGAACAATCGCCACTGATTGAGGTTCACTCTATGTTCGGCTGGAAAACTGGGTTGTTATTTAGGAAGTCATTAATCACATCTCCTCCCCCGGAAAGAGATGGCGGAGAAACCTGTGAAGTACAATTCCTTACCAGTCCTTTGTAAAACGGTTCTGAAATGATGAACCTAGATAGGATCTGATTGCCTGAAGGTAATAATGATTTTTTTCTGGCAGAATTTTTATTTTAAATTTGAAAAAAAATTCAGGCCATATTAGGTAATGATGTGCTTTTTGGCTTTTTGGTCGCCGTGTTTTTTTTTTAAATCAATATCTGAAGTTTAATGAAGATGTAATTAGATTTAAACTAGTCTTTTATAAATTATGCGTTTTCATCTAAGAATTAAATTATCCCAAGGAGGTACACTGCGAGGAGTAGCTGAACTCCTAGGGGAAAGAAAAATCAGAATATCAGTTGCTCTATTTAAACGGCTCGCCCCCATGAGCTTATTGAGATAGACTTGTGTGTAGGGCACGCGTGTGCACATTTATGACTGCCGTTTTTCCTAAATCCACTACTCTCAAGGACCCGCTATTGTGTTTAAATAGAAGCACAAAATCAGCATTCTGATTAATCATTAAGGAGGTTCCTAAATTGTCCTTCAGATAACATGTTTGAGCTTTTTCCGTATTCATTCATAAATTATTTTGATGTCAGCGCAGATGAAATGGCGATTGGTTATCTCTTCCTCTTGCCAGCCCCTTAAGGATCCGAGGTGAAATTAGTAGCAAGAAAGCATGTAATTGACAAAGTCACGTGTGCTCAGGGGGGCCAGAAACTGGAGAGAGCAGAGGGGAAAAAAAAATCAAAAGAAGGAAAGCACATTAGACCATGCGAGCTAAATTTGTGATCGCAGAAAATCAAGATGTTAGATTGATGCAGAAGATCACTCCGTTCCAAAGGGAAAGTTTTCATCTTACGAGTTTGGCGCTGAGGGCCGGTGGGGCAACATGGCCGAAGGTTAATTTTCTTTTCTATTGTTTTACTGTGATTTTCTTCCTTCTTTTCTCTCCCTATCCCCTTTCTCACCCTTCTCTGCCCATCTCCCCCTTCCCCTTTACCCTAATACTAGGGCATTAACTCCCCACCCCTGCATCTCCACTGGGTCTTTCTGCAAACCTATTGTTACAGATCTCCAAAAATGTTTTGTACCGCCCACACTGATTCACAACTTGAAAAGCTTTCAGGGGGCTATTGTTTGAATTGTGTGAGTGTGATTAAGCGCAGTTTCAGTTAGTGAGCCCAAGAAAACTTTTATACACCTGCCTCCTCCCCCATTCTACCCCAACTTTAATTGAAAGTTGTGTGTGGGGGCGGGGAGGGGAATGCACATTGCAAATTCACTGCTGTGGCATGTGCATTACCTACTAGTTCTAACCATCTTCAGGATTTTGATTTCCCTTTTCTCCTTGCGCCCACCAGAGAAAATAGTTTCTAGGAAATTTTTCTTTGTGAATGGGATCAGTGTTAAATCAGCAACATGCAAGTAAAGTATGGCATGCTGAACTGTATTTGGCTGAGAAAACGGAGTTAAATGAAAACAGTACACGTATGTACAGAAACATGGAAGTTGGTGTGATCGATAGAACCCTGTGGCTTTCCGCTTCCCTTTTAACCCTTTTCATTTAAATATTTTATGTAGAAGGAATCAAACCGTTTACTTTCTCTATTTTTTTTTAAAGCTACTCTCCTTTCCCCAAGCATTTTTTTCCCCTCTCACATTGAACACAGTATGGAACTAACTGACTTTTTTTTTTTTTTTTGTCTTGTTCCATCTCAGGCGGGGCAAGCAAAGGTGGTGGAGAAGAGCCCGGGAAACTGCCAGAGCAGGCAGAAGAGGAATCCCAGGTTTTGCATGGAACTGGCCACTGTAAGTGGTTCAATGTACGCATGGGATTTGGATTCATCTCTATGATAAACCGTGAAGGACGCCCCTTGGATATTCCAGTTGATGTATTTGTACACCAAGTAAGCCAAACTTTTTTCCACTTCACCATTTTCCATGTGGAAGATTTGATATGTAGTTTTGTTAATATACATCCAATAATATTCCCTTTGGTATTGAAAGATAAAATCCTCCATAAAATCATGTGATAGTACTGTTTGTAGGAAAAATGTGTGAGCTCCTCTCAGGATATCTTTTTCTAAACAGAAAGTGAAATCTTTCAAATTTCACTACTTAGACTATTAGCATTTCCTCTTCATTCAACAGCAAAATTGCATTTTGGTAGCTTCCGGTATCATTGATTGCAGCATACTCAGTCCTCCAGGTTTAGTGAATGAATTAAAAACATGAATGAAGAAAAATAATTATTTGAGGTTTTTTAAATATAGAAAAAACATTTTGATATTGTAAGAAATGTATATGTTTCTCATATTTTAGGTATCAGTAATCACAGTAGCTCCATGTATTATCCCTGTCATCCCTGTAGTCATTTGTAGATTCAGATCAGAATAATTTCATAGTAAGATGAAATAGAACAATGTTGCCTGGAATGGATTTGAAGAACTGCCAGAGAGCATTCTTGGTGCTTGGTGTAGAATATTGGTCCAAGCATACTATCTCTTTAAGAGCCTGAACTGGGGGAAAAAAATGTGGCCAAAGGAGGCTCTAGATGGTGTGTTTAAAATGTGCTGGTCTAGTATTTGGAGATTGAGTAATTGTGTTGTAATTTCTAAAGATGTTTTAAATACCAAATGTTCATCATGACTTCTCATTTGAAAAACTATGTCTGTTATTCTCTTTGTAGTAAAAAAACGGTGCTTATAGTTTGCAAGTCTGTTTCATTATGAGACTGAAATATAAACTCTCAAGTAAATTAATTGAATTAATTATTGGAAATAAAGAGGATCAGGAGTAAAGCGGGTATTTTTGCTTGACATCTAAGTTTGAAAGAATTAAAGGAATGGCTATTTACACTGCAAGTTGACTGACATAGATGCATACCTGAAATACTTAGCATCTCTTAAAAAAGGGTATGTTTATTTTATACTGTGTTGTCTGTTCCTGGTACTATTACCATCTCCCTGCAACCCTTCCCCCATAAATATCTTCAAATCACATATATAAACAATAGGAACATATGAAATGATTCTGTTTTGTTGTTCTGTGGTGCTTTAGTAGTTCCCTGACCTTACTAAATACAGTGTTTTCCTTTCCTACCAACCTGGCCATCATTACTGGCTATTCAAATGTGAATTTAAAGGGATTTAAATAAAAAACAGGAGTCTACATATAGGATACTGAATTTTTTTACTTCCTGCTTTGTATTTAAAAATAATGAGCTTTTATTCTCCTATGGATGGCTGAAATCATTGATGAATTATTTTTCTCTCAGGTTCTTGCTTCTTCCTTTGAACCTTCTTTTGGTTGTTAAATTTTTCTTTACGATCTCATAAATTTGTTTTATTGATCAAGGAAAACAATAGCACTTTTCTTTTTTGTTTGGTAACACTTTGTTATAATTTTGCATATTTTTTTAAAAAAACTTCAAATACTATTTAACCAGTGCTAATGTACAGAATCATAAGACTTCTGAATTTAATCTGCTTAGCAGTTGTTGTTAAACATTCCTGCATCAACTGAATTTAAAAAATATATTGGTAGCAACATTTTTTATATATAGCTAACAATTTCTTGATTATTATTTGTTTCACATTAATCTTCTGTCCTTCATCTATCATGTATATATAAAAAGGGAAGTATTGAATGATGTCTAAAGAACTTAATGAATAATTACTTTGAAGAAGGCAGAAATCCTACTGATTTCAGCCAGGCAACTACAAGTAATAGTTAGATTGCCTTAAATGATTTGTATGAAATTGTCTGAGCATGTTTTACAGAATCATGTGTAGTTCATGGCTCTTTGATAAATTTTTGAAAACTTAAAAAAAAATTTCAGCTGTCATTTTTATTGTATATTTTTGAAAACATGCCAGGTGTACTCTCTGTCTCTCTCTCTCAATATATATGATTTTTTACATTGTATCTCTGTGCTGTTTTGTTAATGCACGAACACACATGATAGATAATTAGAAATTTTAAATGTTCAGCTGGGCCAGTGTCTGCAAATCATGTTATATGTGTGATAGGTATATAGGTGTATCCCCAAAATACAGATGTTATTGAATTTCTTTTTTAAGTATTTGAATGAATTTTTAATATTACATATTGGGGAAATAAAAATTATTTTAATTTCTTTTTTAATTTTTTATTGTGAACATACTGTACAGAGGGGTTTATTTTAGTTTCTTTAAAATAATATTTGAACTTCATGCAAAGGTACCCAGGATTTTTTTTCTTTTTCTAAAAATATTGACCCCCCCCAAAAAAAGTACATCTAAACAATTCAGTTGCTGTGAAATGAGGAGGGTGTGTGTGTGTGTGTGTGTGTGTGTATGTGTGTGTGTGTATGTATATTTTGATAGAAACCTAGATTTATTACCTAATGTTATTTAAAATTATTGGCATTAATGTAATTAACATATCCTGTAGTACTTGTGATATCTAAATCTTAATGTTGAAAGATGTACTTAGGTGTTATTATACTGTCACTATCTGATAGATATTTTGGTAAATGCAGTGAGATTCTGCTATTGGAGGATAGTGTGTGACACTGGTGGTTTAAAAGGACAGTCTGCTGGTGCTGGTGGCTCATGCCTCTGTAATCCTAGCTACTCAGGAGGCTGAAATCTGAGGATCACCGTTCAAAGCCAGGCTGGGCTGGAAAGTCTGTGAGACTATCTTCAATAAACTACTCAGAAAAAGCCAGAAGTGGCACTGTGGTTCAAGTAGTAGAGCTCTTGCCTTGAGCAAAAGAATTTCAGGGAGGCTGGGAATGTGGCTTAGTGGTATTGTGCTTGCCTACCAAGCATGAAGCCCTGGGTTCGATTCCTCAGTACCATATAAATAGAAAAAGCTGGAATTGGCGCTGTGGCTCAAGAGGTAGAGTGCTAGCTTTGAGCAAAAGAAGCTCAGGGACTGTCCAGGCCCTGAGTTCAAGCCCCAGGACTGGCAAAAAAAAAAGTCTTCACAAAGAAGCTCAGGGACATGGCCCAGGCCCAGAGTTCAGGTCAAGGACTGGTAAAAAATAAATAAGATAAAAGGACAGTCTAACTTTTCTAACTGGTAAATGTTCACATTTTTGTGGGTGGAAAAGATATGTTAATAATGTTATAATTGTAATTTATAGTTATAATTTATGGAATTTAATAATGAATATTATATTCTATAAAAATTGACAGAAATATATAAATAATGTATAAGTTTTGTCATGTTACTCTGTTTTGTGTGTCATGTACTCTGTTTTGAAGTTTGAGTTTTTTGATGGTGATTCAAGTTGTAAAATAGGATAATTTTTCGAAATGTTCTAATTCATTCCAAAACTCAAAGATTTGTCTCAGTTGGAGCATTTATGGTTTCTGCAGATTTGAAAGATTCTTACTAAGATTCTTACCTTAGTAGAATATAGTTTTGTTTTTTTGTTTTTGTTCCTTTTTGTCAGTCATGTGGCTTCCAACTCTGGGCCTGGGTGAAGTCCCTGAGCTTCTTTTGCTCAAGGCTAGCACTTTACCACTTGAGCCACAGCACCACTTCTGGCTTTTTCTGTGTATGTGGTACTGAGAAATTGAACCCAGGGCATCATGCATGCTAGGTAAGCAATCTACCACTAAGCCACATTCCCAGCCCTACCACTTGATCTCAAGGCTAGTGCTCTGCCACTTAAGCCACAATGCCACTTCTAGAATGTAATTTTTTGTAAGTGCAAATAATTAATATTAGTTTATGTTAGTAAGTTTTAAAAAAGTGTTTATAATTAGATGGTATGCTAACATGTCTAAGTTACCTGGAAAAAGTGAGTTGCAGGACTTTTTGGAATGTAAGTTTTTAATAGAACAAACAGTTCATGACATCTTAGAGGACTTGAATGCTAATTAAATGTTAGTCATTTTTCTGAAAAAAGGCAGTGTTACTTAATAAACTACCTGTTGATATTTATAGATCATGTAAATTGCCTTTACATAGATCTTGAAGCCATCTTCAAAATATATCTCACCTAAGAAAATAGTATCAAATTTTGTTTTCTTCTGGAAAAGTATAGCATTCAATTTTCTTAATGACCTCTCATTAGCTTATTTGCATAGTAAAACTCGTTACACATGGGACTTACGTGAATTTGGAATTTATTGCTTTGATATGTGATGTAAAGAATTTTTATCTCATAAGTTGTACAAATTTTTTCCAGAGGGAAAAAACAGTAAGTAAAACATTACATTTAGATTTTGTTTTGTTTGTGCTAATCCTGGAGCTTGAAATCAAAGGCTAGGTGCTGTCCTTGAGCTTTGTTGTTCAAGACTAGTACTCTTAACACTTTAGTCACAGCTCTACTTCTGGGTCCTTTTGGTGGATAATTGGAGATTAGGGACTTTCCTTCCTAGATTAGTTTCGAACTTCAATCCTCAGATCTCAGCCTCCTGGTACCTGGGATGACAGGTGTGAGCCACCCATGCCTGCCTTGCATGTGGTTTTGAAATAATCACTTTTCAAGTATTGCTGTTTTCTTATGCTTTTTATTTCTGACTCACAGTTTTTATATTTTATGGATAATAAAAATATCCATATTACAGAGATTCTGTATGTTTTGTGTTTCTTTTGTTATGTGGCTTAGAAAACATCTTATGAAGTAAATTTATTTTCAAACTATTTTTTTTCTGGTGCCAGAATCAAACTGAGCCTCAGGCATGTTAAGTGAACTGTTTACCACAGAGGTACATTTCCAGTTCCACATAGCAATTGTAAAAATAATTTTGATAGACATCCTGGTCTAAGCCTCTAATTTCAGAATTCTGTAAGATAAATATATTCATGATTTTGAAGCCTGTTTGGGCTATGTAGTAAGACCTATCCCAAAGAAAATTTGTAATCTTACTGCTATGATCATTAACATTTACAACTCATTTATAAGGCA